TTTCAACCATTACTATCTCTTAGCAAGAACTACACCTAACTGATCAAGTCAACTCCAGTTACATATTTCTATGTACAATAAAATGAAATCGAAATATTAAAATAATGATTAATTGCATTTCTTGTGAGTTAAGAAGTTACAGAACACATTAATTTCCTTGCTAAACAGGTATAGATTTTTTAGTTAACAGAAAAATATAACAAAAGATTTAGTAAAGATTTGTAACATCCCGTTCCTGATATTCATGGTTGCACACTATCACTCTCTATTGAAATATTTGCATATTATGCAGATTTCATTATATATCATTTATAATCAGAGGGGTTTTGTGGAGATTGTAGTAATTTAATAGTTGAATTAATGAGTCAATTGAAGCTAGACCAATATGGAAAACCTAGAAGCACTGGACGGCTGTTTCTTCCTATTGTGGGACTCCTCAGCAGTGCGTACCCACGATCCCGCCTCGCGAGATTCCATCCCAGAACCTATCAGTTTCTCATCCGAACACATAACCTCTACACCACTGAGCTGGCTGGTATCCAACGGTGTTAATGTCTAACTCCAACTAATCCACGAAATTGAGCGACACATCCACCAATGTCTTCAGTGAGTTACCATCTCACAACAGACCCAGTTGAACTCCACTAGTGACGGATTCTCACTAGAATGTCAGGAAATATCTCTTGGTGGACGGTGGCGCAATTTCGTGTACTGGTTGAAGTTAGACATTAACCCCGCTGGATGTCAGCTGACTCAGTGGTCTAAAGGTTATGCATATATAAGTTTACTGGTAGTGAAGAGATTAAGAATTCTGACTTTATATATCTAAACCCTATAATTCATATTAAATCATATCATCTTCTGTACATTTAGACATTTGAACTAGATTAAAAAGTGATCTTTAATTTGTGAAAAAAGTATTGCATTTTCATTTTGATAAATATAAATTAAAATGGATTACATTCGATAGTTGATGAATAACAGATTATATATTATGTTCTTTGACGTTATGGTTAATTTCTTTATTTAAAATACATGCTTAATTATGTTTACTCTAGTATATCTTTTAGCTAATAAACTATTTATCAAATATTCTACTATCTATCGTGGTATAATGATTTCATATACAACGTTGAAATCTCACTTAAATAACTGTTATGTCTAGAGAGATGATAAAAGTAAATGAACTTTTGTTCCTTTGATATTTAAATGAAGACTCAACTGATCATGAAATCGCTTCCATGAATATTTCGGCTGAAACTAGCTAATTGACGAGCATATAGGTATTTTCCAACACCTTTTCAAATATCAGAATGGGTTTTGTGGAGATTTTAGAAATTTCACAAGTTGAAATCATGAGTCAGTTGAAGCTAGCTTCAACTGACTCATGATTTCAACTTGTGAAATTTCTAAAATCTCCACAAAACCCATTCTGATAATAATAATCACCTGCTCACTAGTGACTGACTTCAGGAGACACTTCTGGAGTTCTAGTGAGAAGTCGTTACCAGTGGAGTTCAACCAGGTCTGTTGTGAGATAGGAACTCACTGAGGACAATGGTGTACGGTAGCGCAACTTCGTGGATTGGTTGAAGTTAGACATTAACACCGTTGGATGCCGGCTCAGTGGTCTAATGGTTAAGTGCTCGCGCGCGAAGCCAGTAGGTCCTGGGTTCGAGCCCCGGGTGGTGCGGGGTCGTGGATGCGCACTGCTGAGGAGTCCCATACTAGGACGAAACGGCCGTCCAGTGCTTCCAGGTTTTCAATGGTGGTCTAGCTTCAACTGACTCATGATTTCAACTTGTGACCTTTTCAAATAGTTGATTTCAAAGTAGTATAATTTATTTTCGAAATATGTTACTACTTTTAAAAAAATACAATATTTACTATATACTGAAACAATTAAGATATCAGGTGTCAACAAAATCATTAATTCTATTACTAGGGTATCAATGTATGTGCAAGGAAATGTTCACGATGACCATCTGTTCTTATTCCACTTGATTGAAAAGTTTACTGATGCCTAAAAACAACTACTGTATATATATACAGAAATCTACATGTTATGAACGACCTGTCTTCTGTACTTCTCAGCCCCATATCTCCCTCTTACACATTTATATGCTTCGTTTCCTTCTTTGATAGAAAATAATGTCGGCAACTAAAAGAAATAAAATCAACCTGTTTATATAATCACCTAGTATACATAATGACTATAGATAAATGATTATATATAATGACGAAAAAAGAAGAGGATAGTGTTGGTGATAAGTGTGTATAAATGACAGAAAAGAAAAACTTGTTGTTATTTGTGTAATTTATCTAATGTAGTTATTCATAATTCCTTTCTATTCTTTCTTCTTTTATTTATTTAATATGTGTTAACATGAACTAATGACAATGCATGAACACAATAGATTAATTAGATAAACATCGAACTATTTAAGAAAATAGGAACACTGAATAAAAAATAAACTGTTTATATATATGTGTATATTGGTTGAATCATAAGTGAAAACAAATAAACAAACACACACACACACAACACAATCAAACATTATAAGCCTTAAGGGCATTGGCAGAATTTGATTAAAAGAGAAGAATAGAAAAGAATAGGACAAAAGAAAAAAGAAAAATAAACAGAATGATATAATAATCTTTGTGTTTTTTTCTCAACCTAGTTTTATTTATTTATTTATCTTCTTATTCTAACAACAAAAAAACTTTTTTTCTATGACTTACCAAGGGTGGAAGGACAGAAACCGAAGAGTTAAGTAAGTTAGATAGATAGTTGGCAAATAAATTTAATAAATATGTATTACATTATAATAGTTATGATGAAAAAGAAAAAAAAATAGGAATGAAGTGAAAAGTAATTATTGATATGAGAATGAAGTATTCAGTGAAATATAATTCATCTTTATGTAACTCTGTTTATTCAGTGAAAATTGAAAAATAAATAAGCAGATGTTATTGATATAACTCAATAAAAATGAGTTTGCAGATGATTACCTTTTTAATAGTATATATATACATATTATTATTAAGTTGTTAACACTTAGATACAATTATCAGCTAACTATCTACATGGCAACGGATACAAATCACTGTCCAACTGTACTTCTAGTTAAAGAAACGAAAAATAGATCTGAAACTTCAAAGACTTAAATGAACCAAGAGCACATGTAGGTGGTGTTAGATAATACATATGTAACAGTCTTGGTATTGTTTGTTTGGATCTTCCCATTGATGTCTTAGATTACAATTAATCGGTCACTTATTAGTATATATGCATACTGTGCGTACTGCCTCAATATAGCCTTAATTCATGAGTCCTATATAGGACGAAACGGGCGTCTTGGATTCTACTGCTAATCACTATCCATCTTTACATATGTAACAGTCATTTGATATAATCAATATCTTTTTGAAAATAACTTCAAAAATGTATCTATCGAATGTTTAATTGAGTACACATAATAAAAGTATGTTTTTTCGATCATATTTGTATTCCTTCAAACATGTTTTCTAGATCAGTGTTGGTACATTAAATTTTTATGATACCTACTGAACATTCATTTTGTTCTATCCTTCATTAAACACAAGTTAATGAGGATTATTTCTTAGTTGGTATCGATTGCTAAGCAAAGTATTGCCTATATTTTCATATTATCTAATCAGGTATAAAGATGGATTTAAATCTTACAGAGTTAAAGAAAATGTGAAATAATAATTTCAAATTCAATTTTCCCTTGATAAAGTACATATTCCTGAAGTTAATAAGTCACCAGAGACATGGATAATTGATAATAATGGTGAGTCTATCAGTCATCATGTAGCAATAAACCAATTCTAATTTAAATGGCTTTTCAAAACTAGTACATGTGAACACACAAGGCCATTCATTACAATTGATGAATCTAATTATCTCTATGTTCTTTATCATATTACATATAGAGTTTTTTAATTGTTATAAATTCAACAATTTAAATTTTAGAAGGGGTTTTCTTGTGAAAATTATAGTAATTCCAATAGTTGGGATCATAAGTCAATTGATTCTAGACCATCGTTTAAAAACCTGGAAACACTAGGTTTGAATCTCGCGAGGCTGGGTCGTGGATGCCCACTGCTGTGGAATCCAACAATAGGACGAAACGGCCGTCCAGTGCTTCCAGGTTTTCTATGATAGTCTAGCTTCAACTGATTCATGATATTAATTATTAAAATTTGAATTTTATTTGACAATTCCATCAAAATTTATTTCAAATATGTTTTACAGATAACAACGTTCTATTTTTATTATTTCTTTTACAGAAGTCGGTGCAAAGTTAAATTTTTGTACCAGTAGTAATTATATTTTCACTGATGACCTAGTAATTCAAGAATCTGAAAACAAGCTTCCTCAAAATATCTTCTCTTGTGTTCACATTGGATGGGCTTTAACACTTAGTCCTGACGTATGATCGGAATAGTTTTTAAATGCTGAAGATTGAATCAACTGTACCTATAAATAAGATGATAAGAAAGTCCTTCTTTTCCTTATGGTAAAACATTACTCGTAGACTATATTTATCTAACTTTTTGGTAAAGCAATCTTCATGACACAGAACATTAAAAAAAAACTTATTTATTGTGATAACCTTTTAGAACTTAATTTTGTCTTTAAAGCTCGATAGGGTTATCACTAGACCAATATAATAAGTTGAATAAACTTGCCTACTTTTAAATTGTTAGTAGTTAAAAAGATAAAGCAAATTTTTATTGTGACACAAATTTTTATTACAAAAAATTAAAATTACTGAAGAAAATACCATGATTTCATGTCTTTTTATTTGATCCACTAAGTCTGACTGCAAACCGAAATCGAGGAAGTAAGAATAACAGATAAATCATTAGATCAATTACAAAAAGTCGATGAAGGAAATAAGAAACGAAATATTGCTTGAATGATAAAAAAAATACTAATATAGGGAAAACTACAATAATTTTACTAGAAAATATTAGGTCAAAACAGTCGTGATAACGATTTTATTCATAATTGTTTGACTGAATTGCCATTTGTTAGTATGGCGTTCATAGATTTTCAGTGTAGTAGTAGTAGTAGTAGTAGTAGTAGTAGTAGTAGTAGTAGTAGTAGTAGTAGTAGTAGTAGTAGTAGTAGTAGTAGTAGTAGTAGTAGTAGTAGTAGTAGTAGTAGTAGTAGTAGTAGTAGTAGTAGTAGTAGTAGTAGTAGTAGTAGTAGTAGTAGTAGTAGTAGTAGTAGTAGTAGTAGTAGTAGTAGTAGTAGTAGTAGTAGTAGTAGTAGTAGTAGTAGTAGTAGTAGTAGTAGTAGTAGTAGTAGTAGTAGTAGTAGTAGTAGTAGTAGTAGTAGTAGTAGTAGTAGTAGTAGTAGTAGTAGTAGTAGTAGTAGTAGTAGTAGTAGTAGTAGTAGTAGTAGTAGTAGTAGTAGTAGTAGTAGTAGTAGTAGTAGTAGTAGTAGTAGTAGTAGTAGTAGTAGTAGTAGTAGTAGTAGTAGTAGTAGTAGTAGTAGTAGTAGTAGTAGTAGTAGTAGTAGTAGTAGTAGTAGTAGTAGTAGTAGTAGTAGTATTTGAATGATATTTTGCCATTTCCCCCATTCCCCATTAGTGTGAACATACACCTACCATTTCTTGAAATCTGGCGTCAATGCTTAATGGGTATAAGTAAGTCATTGACACAGTCATATAATTACCGCTCAAGATGTGACGACTTATCACAGACGATTGGTAAACTATCATTTTCATATGTGATTCGCACTCAAATCGATCTAGTCAGTCATTGCTCAACATATCATCCACCTACAGTGGATGTATACAGACAGGCAAGTAGACGAGTATTGGAGTATTGGAGATGAAAAGTGCTTGTTTATGTGGTGCACGGTACACACAAACGAATACTTGGTTCAGGTGGGCTGAGTGAAATCTATTTGTTGTCGTCTGACTATCGACTGATCAGTCATTAATCACGATGACTTGACGATAGAATGGATCAGCCAAACATCCTGTCGAACATCGCCTATCAGTTGACAGAATCAGCAGCAGACGGACGCTAAACTCAGTGTGAACATCAACACACATATTTCAGACTTTTTTGTCGGTTTCTTTGTTAAGGTCTCATAATTTATTCATCACTGGTGTGGTATGTTTTCCACCATCGACGTTGAACATCCCTTTATTGGCCTGTATCTGACTCTTTTTATCGTAGTTTGGAAAACTGAGTTGTGTTTACATTGAGCTTGCTTTGCTGAATTTGTTCTTCCAACAAATGGAGTACAAAACGTTTATCATCTACGTAGTTTGCTGAGTTATTTTCGGCGTCGGAGTGCTCACCACTTCAGTTGCTCGTTATTTTGACACCAATTAGATCCGATATTGTTGTCGACGGGCTCGCCACTTTAGAGGCCCTATGTCTGACTCCATTTGTATCGTTTTTTATTGCTATTGAGGTATACATGTCGCCAATCCACGTATATTATTAATGACTTAATTTGCATTAGTGAACAACGGAATTAAATAAATCAAATGCGAGAATGGTTTTAATTAAGCATTAATCGCGTTGGGCTCAATCACCTTCTTCACTGCACGTCAGTTCGCTTCGTCCCTCTGATTGTCTGTTCAAATCAATAAGTGTACAAAATATACGTATTCAAACATCCATTCTCGTATTTGACTTATTTAATTCCGTTATCCACTAATGCAAATTAAGTCATTAATTATATACGTGGATTGGCGACATGTATATCTCAATAGCAATTAAAAACGATGCAAATGGAGTCAGATATAGGGCCAGTAGAAGATACATTGTGTCGACCAGTGTTAATCAAATATTCTGAGACGATCATATGATTAGTGCTTTTGTTTCTTAGCTGTCAGTAATAATCATCAATTTTCGACGTAATTGATACATCATACATCTAAACTATATCTGATCAGAATGTTTATATATTGAAGTCCGTTTTTTGCCATTTTTCGTCTTCTTTTTTTCCCTTGTTCTTTTCACTGGTGTTTTTTACTTTTTCGTTAATTTCCATTTGTTTTTATTGTTATTTATCGTGTTTTTCCCTTTCTTTTATCATATTTTGGCTTGAAATTTTAGCAATAATTTCTTTACTTAATCCCTATTTGGTTTCTCCGTTATTTAATTTCGCTTCAATTGTTATTTGTGTTATATTTCAGATTATTTATTTCCTACCATGTTTCTTCTTGTTATCTCTCAATATTCCTGTATTATTCGTTCCATCTTTTGATAGACTTCTTCGTTATTCTTTCATTTCGTACCTTTCTTAACTTTATTGGTTGTGAATTCTGTTGTTGTGTGCAACGTTCCTTGTGTGATTATTTGAATTCTTGTTTAGCCATTTTTTTCTTTTTGGAAACTTTCCTTGATTTTCTCCATTTTTTCCCGCTATGATGTTTTTTTATTTATTTTTCACATACTACAATTCCGAATTTTCTTTCTCTTTTCATTTACAACATTGTTTACAGGAAAGCTAATTTGATGTTTGCTCTTATAGTGAATTGGTTACTTGTTGGAATGTCAATATTTATTGTGATCTTATAACTCATTCATGTTTTCTTCCACGCCTCAAATTGGATTTACTAAGATATGTAAATGTTTTTAAATTTTTACAAAATTCAGATGATTCATATTCATTGGAAATTATTTCAGAGAATTGGCAGAATGAAATTGTTTTTGGAGACGATCTTACTTACAAATAATTTTCAGGAAGGTAATTATGAATGACAGGAAGTAAACAAAACATTATTTGATGTTTACTATTGGAAAATAATTCTTACATTATGGAAATGGTATATCCCAGCACATAAAATGTATCTAGTACATAAAAACGCCACAATGATATCTGAACCTAGTAAGATACATACTAAGATTCACTGCATAAATATTTTCTATTATTTAATTTATTCAGTTCACAGTTATGAAATCTGATTACTATTGAATTATTACGCTGATAAAATGACTTAAACGTTTTATACTACTTTTAAATTTTTAAAGTAGTATACATATTCATACTAAATTTCAGTGAAACACTAATTGGTTTTCAAAATTTACTAATAAAGAATTATCAGAATGGGTTTTGTGGAGAGTTTTAGAAATTTCACAGGCTGAAATCATGAGTCAATTGAAGCGCACTGCTGAGGAGTCCCATACTAGGACGAAACGCCCGTCCAGTACTTCCAGGTTTTCCATGGTGGCCTAGCTTCAATTGACTCATGATTTCAGCCTGTGTAATAAAGAATTGACAAGCTAGTTTATTTACTGACTTAATTATTTTCATATTTAATGTATTACAAATAATTCTCATAAATGTCTATTAAAATTATAGTGATTCTTACATTTAATATCACCTATCTAATGGATATCTGAAATTAAATTGAAATGTAAATTTTTCTATGGTTTTTTCTTTAATAATTTGTTCGATGTACCCTTAAAACAATTTTATTCTAAGTCTTATTACATTAGTTTCTTTCGTATTTGTTCTAGACTATATTTTTTTTGTCTTAATTAAATGAACTAATAAATAAGTAAATGGATGGATATGAAATGAAAATTTAGAAAAATCAAACTGTTAACTAAGCAATAAATTTGTGGACAGTTAATTGTTTACTAATAGAATTTATGATTTTTAATGACAGATTTTACGATATGAATTAATTAAATATTAATGGTGGTGTATATGGTGGCAATCTCTTTTTTTTCTTGTATCATGTAAACAATAGTTAATATTTATTGTACACGAAGTGATAAAATGGATTATTTGTAGTGTGTGTACATGTCCATGCATGTGTGTGTGTGTGTGGGGGGGTAACTAACAAATTTGTAAATGTCGAATTTTGTGAAGACAGATAAATATTCCTTTAAAAAACAAGTCAGAGATGCTTTAAACCTTCCCCTTATATAGCTCCTTTTATTCTTAGAAATAAAAATATTTTGTAAAATACTGTCTAGAAATTCTTAGACCATTAGGACTAGAAATAATAATAATAACCCAATCCTATTATTTAGTATATAGTAACACATCGACTGTACAATCGTCTTATCATTCAAGCGATAATGCCATGAAAGTGTTACTTTGAATAGAGATGAAATTTTGCTATCTAAAACAATAAGCTACAGCTCTGTGAATAACATATTATAGGACCTATGATATAAGCTACACTGATTTAATAATTGATAATCTAAAAAAACATGTGTCTCATAATATTTGATATGAATTCCTATTCAACAAAAGAGTGGTGTAATGTCTTTGTAATAAGTTCTAGTCTAGTTTAGTAAATTACAGTAATCAGTGTTCTCTCATTTTTATTCTATTTAAATGCAATTTAGTGTAATATAAAGTAGAAGGGGAGCAAAACTATGGTTCCTATGAAACTTTTACAAATTGCATAAACGCTCTTCCGTATGGTCTAAGTTCATGTTGATAGCACGTATGGATATTGTGATATTGAGTCTTGTGGGTTGTTTTACATAAATTAACTGAATAATAATTTTACTACTTGGAAAATTAGGTTTCCTACATACTGTTCAATATGTTATCAATGTTGAAAATAACTGGAGCGTTACAAAAGAGTTGAGATACTTATTCAGTACATAAAAGTTTCATTTGATACTATCAGTTCTTAAGAACAAAAACCAATTCATAACATATTTACAGTGTAAGGAGTAATAATTCCTAATCATTAAATGTATTCAAAGTAGCATTGAGTAAACTTGTTTATTTTTCATATCATAAGTCTTGAATGAAGAACACTGATTGAGAAAAATCTACATTGTTATATTTTAGGGAGCAAAAATACTATTAGAAGACTTTATGTGCTGAAGAAGTGCATGTTTTTGGTGAAAATAAGTTCATAACACAATTTAGTTCATTCACAAAAACTTGGAAATTTTAATTTATTCGTTATACCTTTTTATATGTTAAACACAACCACACCTTCAAATTGAAGTAATCATACTAAATACTACTTCTTACTATAAGAATAACTTATAATATATTAACACACTTGAAACTTCTTATTTTTCTATTATGATGAATGTTAGTAAAGTGTGTTTTAGTAAATTTTTTGATGGAACTTTATTCTCTGAGCTGAATGGTTCGCTCGTGGAGCTTTCATCGTCCTTCTGAACGACATCATCAGTACAAACTTCAGACAAAAGTGAAGTGTTCGAATTTCTCCACATATGGTTCACAGCTTATTCTGTAGACATCGATGTTGATTGGTTCTTATTGACATGAAACCTATCATTGCTTACTTTTTTCATTTTGGTCTACAGGACAAGCTAGGAACCATATGTGAAGAAGTTCAAACACTTCATTTCCTCCTGAAGTTTGTGCGGATGATTTCGTTCAGAAGAACAATAAAAGCTCCACAACCAAACCATCCAGCTCAGAGAACAAAACTCCAAAAACATTCATCTGAGCTATTAATCTTCTCCATCATTTTAATGATTATTGTTTATCAATTACTAATCATTTCTTCAAGAGTTGAAAATAATTGGTTCTAAACATCTTATTTAATGGGATTCCCTCTCTAAATTTTAGTTTTTTGTTTAGTCATTGTAGTTTAAT